TCCCTACGGCATGGGAAATGCACATCGATGCGTGGTATATCCTTCCTTAGGCCCACATGTATTTGTGGCTGAATTTATTGTTCACCCTTTGGCCACTCCAATCGGGAAGAACGAGCGCGCCCCACCGCATGCGAGGTATATATCGGCGCTGGCGGCCCCGGGCTCTTTCCTGCATCGGTGGCGACCGCCGCGACCCCACGGCCGCGGCTGCCCTACCAGGAAGACCTGGAGGAGGAGGAGGAGGAGGAGGAGGAGGAGGAGGACAAAGAGGACGACGAGGAGGAGGACCCCGTGAGCGAGGGAGAACTGAGATCTGAGACGGAACCGGAGGACGAGGGAGAGGAAGACAAGGACCGGGATTCCGACACGGCTGCCGCCGCCGACAGTGACGACAACGAGTCCGTCGGGGCCGACAGCGCCGACAAAGATGACAAAGACCCGGCCCCCCCACCGGAGACAATGGCCGAGGACCCGCCGCCGGTCGAGGCAAGCGAGTCCGTGGTCACCCCCGAGTCGTACGATCGCATGGACAGGCCGATGTCCATCAGGGCCGACGCGCTGTCGATCGGGTATGCGGAGTAGGCCGCCGAGGAGGCCGCCGCCAGGCTCGAGGCAAAGGTGTCGTCGGATGATGCGCCGACGCCGCCGCCGCCGGCGGCCGCCGACTCATGGCGCCGGAGGTAGTCCTCGTGCAGGTTGCTGGCCGAGGGGTAGGCAGAGGCCGAGTAGGATGCCAGCGGGTCCAGGTGATGGTGGTCCATCTGGTGGTGGTGGTGGTGGTGGTGGTGGTGATCCAGGTGCATGTGGCTGCGATGATGGTGGTGATGGTCCATGTGCATGTGGCCATGGTGGTGGTCCAGGTGCATGTGGCCATGGTGGTGGTGATGGTGGTGGTATGTGCCGGCGTCACCGGAGGAGTGTGGCAAGGAGCTGCTGTCCATGCCGCCGATGTCGCTGTACATCTCGGCCGAGGAGTAAGCCGCTGAGGAGATGGCCGCCGGGGTGAGGTCCGCCGTGGCGGAGCTCTATGCCATGCGAAGGTGGGTTTGAAGAGGAGAAAGTGTGTGAGGGAGAGAGGGGGAGGGGGAGGGAGGGAGGAGGCGGGCGGGCGGGCGGGCAGGAGCTGCGACATCGGCACCAAGAGAGCAGGGAAATCGGGACGCACCAGATAATCCACATCACCCGAGTCGCTCCGGTCGAGGAAGGCATCCAGGACATCATGGTCGGAGGTGGATACCAATGGCGGAAGGGCCACGCCAGAGGGGGAATCCAGGGCCGCGCCATACTCAGTGGCGGTATCCGTCGAGGTCTATCCATGCGCGAGGAGAAGCAGGAGAGGGCGAGAGCCATGAAGAGAGTCAGTCGAAGGATGCGAGGAAAGGGAGCGGCGCGGCGACAAGGCGCGTCAACGGCTGCGAGAGCGGGATCCACAACGTGGATGCGCCGCGCGCTCAAATACTCACCGAAAAGTCGTCGACACTCTCATGGACGGGGAATTGCTGCTCATCGAAGTGATGCTCTGGGAGAATATGGCACAGCAGGCGAAGAGGAGCAAGCACAGGCAAGGAAGAGGCAGGGGGGGGGGGCGGCACATAGCGCAGCGGGAGCAGCATCGAGAAGGGGGGGGGGACACAGTATGAGGACAGGGGACAAGGGGCTCACAAACACACAAGGGCAGAGCGCGGGCGCCGAGTGGCACACAGCCCGGCCAGCCAAAGAGGAAGGGGGGCAGCGGGCGGGGGCAGCGGGCGGGGGCAGCGACAAGCGGGATGCCCTTTTCTGCCCCGCGCGCGCGTGCGCACCCACACATACACACACATACACACACATGCGCACACAACGACACGCATGCGCACACATGCGCACACAACGACACACACACACAACGGCACACACACAACGACATACAACAATACACACACAACGACATACAACAATACACACACAACGACACACACAACGACACACACAACGACACACACAACGACACACACAACGACACACATAACGACACACACAACGACACACACCACCATAAACGAATGGCGGAGACAACAAGGACACGTACCGCTGACATGCGAATCAAAGCCCGAGACGGAAGAGGCCCCGCCAGAGGAGGACCCAGAGGACAAGGTGTCGCTCAACCCGCCTCCGATTGAGCTGACCGAGGAAGACCCATCGGCCGAGATGGCCCCGCCGACTGGGCCCGCCTCCGAGGGGGAAATGCCCACCCCGGAGAGGCTGGCCAGCTCGGAGTCGCTTCCGGACGACACGTGCGAGTGCAGCATATGATGGTGATGGTGCTGCTGGTGGTCCAAGTGATGGAAGTGCTGCTCCTGTGGCGAGGCCGGCGGCACCTGCACGGACGACGCGTAGTGCTCATGCGTATGATGTCCGGGCATTTGAGCGGCTGCGGCCGCTGGCTGCGGCTGCGGCTGCGGCTGCGGCTGCTGCTGCGGCTGCTGCTGCGGCTGCTGCTCCAGGTGCACAGACGCCGGGTGATGGGGGTGGTGATGATGCATGGCATCGGCGAAGTCCCCGCTGTCCGACAGAAGGTGCATGTCGCGCGAGGACAAGGCCCCGGCGTCGATGATCGGCTCGGACGACGGGAATTCCAGGTCCTGCTCCAGGCCGCCGGGGTAGGTGGCCGGGTAGGACTCCAGCGCCGCGGCCTCCGACGCGAAGGACCGCGCGTCGATGCCCGAGTCGGAGCCCGAGTCGGCGTCGTGCGCCACCGCCCCGGCCCCCGACCGCGTGGTCAGCGACGAGGCAATCGATCCGAGGGAGGTGGCCATGGCAGCGAGGGCCGTCGACCCGGCCACCGACCGGCCAAGAGACTTCAACAGGGACTCCGGCGCCGGCTGAGCGGCAGGATGGACCGCCGATACCCCGGCCAGGGAGGCCGGGCGCGCCAGCCCGCCCGGCGGCACACGCTGCTCCTCGGTCAGGAGCCGCTGCTCCTCATCGACCACCGACGTGGCGATCAGCTCGGCCGCCGCGGCACCGGCCGCCGCGGCAGCGCCCGCCGGAGCCGATGTGCTCGGGGGCGCTGCTCCTCCGGGAGGGGGCCCGGCCGCGCCGGACAGGCCGCCGGGGCCGCCGGGGCCGCTGCCCCCTCCGCTTGACAGGGAAGCCGCGTGCTGGAGCCCCTTGAGTGCGCCAATGTCACTCGGCAGCATCGAGGGGTTTTGGTCGAGGGCATACTGCGCCCGGGTCAGGATGCGCAGGGCCCACTTGACGACTGCCAATGCCACCGGCAGGGGAGGGCGGGGGGGGGGGGGGGCGACGAGGGAGATGTCAAAAGCACAAGGGTCAGGCACCGCACATGAAAGGGGGGCGGGGGCAGGTGAAAAAAAAAAGACGCAGGGACGAACCGGGCAAATCAATGACCTTGCCGTCGACGCTGAAAGCACCAAGGCCATGGTACGAGGAATTGATGTAGCCGTCAACAACGCGCAGAGCAAAGTTGATGTCCTTGGTTGAGGGCAGGAATTCCGATTGGATGATGGGGATCTGGTTTGGATGGATGGCTTGCTGCTCGTGACCGTGCAATGGGCACACGACGGCGAGAGGAGCCGGAACAGGCGAGGAGCGGGGGGAGCGGGGGGGCGGGGGGGGGGGGGGGGGGGGGGGGGGAGGCCGCCCAAAAAGCCTGTGGCGGCCGCGAGGGCCGGGGAGCCCGGGACAGGCCACCATGGCCGGGGCACCCCAGACGAGGAACCTCTCGCCGGGAAAGCGAGCCATCTGCAAACGCAGACAAAGGGGAGAAAGGGCCGAAAAAGAGGAATAATAATTGGTGTGTATGGCGCGGTCCGGAATACAGGTTCCGATGGCGGGGACGCGGGCAGTTCGCTCTTCTCGGGGCAACCCACGGCCCTGGCTGGTGCGTGGGCGCCCCTCCGCCCCCCGGGCTTCAACGTCCCCCGGGGCCCTCCCCGGCGGGGGTGGCACCCGCCAGCAGCCTCGGGCATGTTCCTGGCATTCGGCGCGCGCGATCTGCCTGGGGACTCCCGCGCGAGCGGGCCCCCGCTGGCCACGCCCCTGGGCGATAAAACGATACAATCGCAAGGCCCCCCCCGGCGAAGGGGTGCGCGCGTCGATGCCGTCAGTCCGCGCGGCCCCCGCCTCTGCACACGCGCCGTTGGCCCCTCTGCGCCCCCCCGCGCGTAGGCTCTCTCGTCGGGACAAGCGACCCTCACATGGTGCCCCCGCCCCCCCCCGGGCACCGGGCGCGGGCGTCTCCCCCCTCGCAGGGGGAGGACGGGGATCCCAGAACACGCGGCGGGGTGGAGGGAGAGGGCAAACGGGGCGGCAAAATGAGAGTGTAAGCCCACTGTGGGGCTCGAACCCACGACCCTGGGATTAAGAGTCCCATGCTCTACCAACTGAGCTAAACAGGCTGTTGCTGGACCTCGATCCAGGGCTCTTATATGTGGTTGAGTGGCTCGCACGTCCCGCACGGGGGCACCCTCGGCCGGTCCTCCTCCACACCGGGAGGGGGCGCCCCATCCTGCGAGGTGAAGGCACGGCAAAGCGGGAGATGGCCGCCGTGCACGCCGTCCCTCCACGCCGAGAGGCCCTCATGCCATGCTCTCCCTGGCCGCGGGGAAAGGGCCAGGGAGCTCCAGTGGCTGCCTTGTGGCGGCGGGGGCGAGAGAAAGGGAAAGGGCCGGGGACAGGCCACCCGTCGGAAAGGCCACCCGCCACAACCCGGTAGAAGAGGGCCCGGGACGATTGTCGGCGGCCGGCGGCACACGGGGCGAGGTGGCAGCTGCTCGGGGAAGACCCGCCCGGAGGGGAGCCTGGCTGTGGCCCGGCCTCCGGCCCCAGGGGCGGGGGCCACCGCGAGCCCGCCTTTCGGTGGCACATGGCCGACCTGGGTCCAATGCATGTCGGTACATGAATCTAGCCCATTGGCGTGTGGTTGGTCGGCTTTCCGGTTCTGCCGGAGTGATTCTGGCGCGGGCAGCCATGCTCCCCGAGTGCGGCCCCAAGATCGAGCGCATGCCAGGTGCTCGTTCCTTTTGCTCGGCGGCTCTGTCCGCCGCGTCGAGATGCGCCCGGCCGGGATGCGGCCTTCGGCCTGGCCTGCCGTGCGGGGTGTGTGCCCGGCGGGCAGGGGCCCCCGGGTGCGGAGCGTCGGATCGGCAGCCCAGCCGCCAGGCGGGGAGCGCCTTCAAGAAGGGTCCTCGGGCGGGGGCTGGGCGACGTGGGGCGTGGGGCGCCCTCGCTCGAGGACCGAGTGGATGGGCACTGGCGCGGGGCTCGGCCCCGGGCGGCCTCCTCGCGCCGGGGGCGCGGCCCTGTCGGGTGGGGATGCCTGGCGATCGGCCGCGGGTCGAGTCGCCGGGCGGGTGTCCCTCCCGGGCCATGGGCAATTCACAAGGGCAGCCGGCCCCTTTCACGTTGGCCCTTGCGCATGGCTCCGCGGGGGAGCGCGCGAGGAGGGGACTCGCGCACGACACGCTCATCGCATGCGCCTCCACCGTGGCGACCCCTTCCTGAGGGGTGGTCCGCATGGGATAGTACTCGGGGCCGGGGTCGGTTTTATTTCCCAGGCCCCATGCGCCCGGATGGCAATCGGCCCGCCGGGGCCCCCGCACGATGGCCCATCCGGCGTGACAATGGCCCGTGCCGGGCAGGAAGCGGGTGCTGCCCCCTGCCGGGAAGGCAGCAGCCCAAGTGAGTGCGACTGTGCGTGTGCCGGCACGCGTGCGCACCTGTGAACATGCGCGAGGGGATGGCAGCCACTTGCTTTGAGGGAGGGGGGGGGGGGGCCAGGGATCTGGTGGTGGGGTGTGCGCCGGCATCGGGGGGAGGGGTGTGCCTTGCTTTGGGCGCGGGGAAAGGCCATGCTGTCACGCCCCCGGGCCCGGGAGATCGCAGCACTCAGGGCAGTCTCGACGAGGCCATCACCGACACCGGCAGGCATGAGAGTCGTGGATGGCCTCCGGGCAACCGGCATGCCGGGGTGTGCCGGCGAGGAAGCGGGAAAAAAAAATGTTCCCACCCCAAGGTCGCGCTGACGCCGGAGTGGCCCGAACGAATGGACTCCCCCAGGCCCGCCCCTGCAGGGCCGCACGCGCCAGGCACTTCCTCGGCATGTGCGGGCGTTTGGCCGGGCAAGTTGGGGCGGTGCTGGGGGAGTCCGCGCGAGGGCCCTTTGCGGGAGGTTCGCGCGGAGTCAGGCAACCTCGGGCCGGGGGGGTCGAGAGAGGTCCGGCGCGGCAGCGGCGCGGCAGCGGCAGCAGCAGCAGCAGCAGCAGCAACAGCAACAGCAGCAGCAGCAACAGCAACAACAACAGCAGCAGCAGCAGCAACAGCAACAGCAACAGCAGCAGCAGCAGCAACAACAGCAGCAGCAGCAGCAGCAACAGCAACAGCAACAACAGCAGCAGCAGCAGCGGCAGCAGCAGCGGCAGCGGCAGCAGCAGTAAAATAGCCTGCCCTCGGCCAGGCATCCAGCACACCATCCCGATTAGTATAGTGGTGAGAATCCCCGCCTGTCACGCGGGAGGCCCGGGTTCAATTCCCGGATCGGGAGCATGCTTTTTTTCGCGCGGGCACATGGCCCCGGCGTTGGCCTTTCGATAGCACAGTAGCTACGACGCTCGGGTTAAGTGGGGGCGTTCGGTTAAGGACCTCTTTGCCCGTGGTCACACCGCTGAGTCAGGCGAATGGCCCCCACCCCCAGCTCGTCCCTGTCCCCGGGGGTGGCTGGCGCCCGCCCTTGAGTCTGTTTCCGCCTCGCCCCTTTGTTGTTTCCCCCATGCGAGGCCCGGAGACGGGGGCTTCACGAGATTGCCCCCC